AATAACCACAAGCAGATGGGTACCAGAAGAATGAAGGGTACAAGTTTATCAAGATATAAACAAAGTAAATGTACTCTCAAAGGTACAACATTGGTTTTAAGGTCCAATTGTATACCTTAAATAAGTTTTTTGCAAAGGGTATTTGTACCTTTTCATAACAGGTTTTAAAACAGAACAATCAAATAAAAAGCTGGGAGACAAGACGGGGTGTGTGGAGTCAATACAAGTTAAAAAATGAACTTGTAATGGAAAATGACACAATTATGTTCCCTAACTAAAGGTACTGAAGACGTACCCTGAAGGGTACCATCCCAGTGACAAGAGGGGAACCACCCTAGTGACGGTTTAGTAACCTGTTTTCTGAGAGTGTACACTGGGGCAATGTAAACATAGGGCTAATGTGACTACCAGCACCAACAAGTATTTGAAGCCTGTAAAATGCTATTTGAGCCTGCCCTAAACATATTAGGTGATATCACATAATTACATTAATTCAAAGAGGATGAGAAGGGGTTGGTGGCAGTTTTACAAGGTGGACCATTTTTATCATGTTTTCTTAATAAAAGGATGGCATTGCATTGCATCTCCTTTCAAATCAAGCCCTGTGTGGTAAAACTGGCAACTCAATGCATGTGTAATGTTCTGGCTCTTTCTTATAAGGGTAAACATGACTGAGGCCTTACTACTTCAGCTCTCCCCTGCAAGTAGACGTAGGCTGCTTTGCATTTGTTCACTCACTTTTTCAGGTCATGCGTAAGTGCTTTCACTTTGGCCTGCTCCGCTCAGCTCAGATGGATCAATAATTTGCACATCCCGGGAAAGTCAATTACTTCTGCAGAACGGCTATATTTGGACGAAGAGAGAACATAGGAGTCATTATAGAGATAATGTCTCAGACTTCTCCAGCGAGCAGGCCCGATGGGTAATTTGTCTGCTCTTCCACAGCGCAGGACTTTGTCCGTTTGGGCTGAGATTGTAAACAATCTAAAAAATGGGCCCTTCTTCATGTTAGATGTTCAACAACCGGCTAGGCAAAGTGAATGTGGCATGGAGAAACATGATGCTTTGTATGGCTGGAGGCTCTGTGTGTGGTGTTTTGGGGACAGTAAAACAGCCAGTGATTTATAAAAGTTGCGTTTTGTTTCTTTGGTTGCCAAGTGTTTACCTTGTGAAAGATTGACATCAATATGGTGTAAATGTCGAAGGGCCTCCATTGAGTAAACTTAGCTAAGCTAACGTGTGCTTGTAGCCCTCTGAGGAGGATTTAAAAACTTGGATGCAAAGTTCACCTCCCAGTTACTGAAACTGTGTACCTCTTCCTACTGTGGTGAAATGTTTCTGAGTCTGCCAACACCATCAACAGATGAGTAGTAATCTCACCATGGTACACTCGCTGCAGTCTCAAATGCGGCCCTAATTTGACAGGGGGATCAGGTGTAGTGCTGTGGTTTTTCCCTCTCGCCGTGACGAATCAATGCGCGCGGGTGGGCACTAGCCTGCTCCGTGAGGCCCGGACTGTCACCTCAATTACAGTTCTTTATTTGAAGGAATTAAATGTACCTGGAACCGACAGCCTACCGTAATGGTGCAGGCCAGCGTGCATGCGCTGTTTTCACCGGAGGAGAGGGTTTTTTTGGCATGGCTCACATCCTAATTCGCTCCCAGAATGGCGGTAATCAGCCCACAAGGCTCAATGTGTTCTGAAGTACCAAGCGGCCTCATTTGTTGGATTACATCAGTGCTAGCTCCAGGGAGTCAAAAATGTGACAGCGGTCGTTATGGAGAATGTTTTCATACTGTCAGAAAGGAACATTTAAGTTTTTGTACTACACCAAAAATAGACCTAATGTTTCATGATCCCATACATAAAAAGAGCTCATGTTGTGCACTCTTTGTATTTGTGTATTACTCTGCAAAGAAGTTCAAGCTGTGGAGCATCTCAGTTGTATGTCACTCACATTTACATTTTAGTGGTGGATAAATTTTGAACATTCATCAGGCGAATCAGTACATTAGCACAGTAAATTTTGAACCAATTAAATGTTAACTGACAAATAAACAATTGCTATTTGAATAGGAAGATTTGTTTTTCAAGTTGAGGAACATTTTATCTGCAATAATTGATGACGCAATAAGCTAGAAAGGCCTACTAAAAAATGCAGCGTCATATCAAATAGCAAACAAGCAGTGAGACAGACTATTTAGTCATATACATTTCCAATGCATTCTTCATATACTTCCTACTCAGTCACATGCAAAAGTTTGAACAACCCCAGTGTTTAAATTACATATTGTCATTTAGAAAATCAACAAAATAAGTTGACACATCTTCTAGAGAAAACAAACTTAAATATGGCATCTTTTACTGCAATATTTTTATATATTTAATATATTGGGCAAAAAAATATGAAATGTTTCTTTTGCATGGGCCACATTTTATGTCATTTATTCCAAATAGATTAAATTCAGCAAATAAATTAATTGTGCAGCATATTGTGCAAAAGTATGTTCTCTGTTGAGGATGTGTACTGACTACACCTAACTACCCTAGACACTGAAAATGTTCTGTCGGTCTATTAGCTGATCTACACAGTGCCAACATAAGGTTGCCATGTAAAGTTAAATAATAGTTCTTCTGTGGAGAAAGAAATGAAAGATAGCCTTACACTTGCTTCCTTCTCAGACAGAGAAGCATGAAAATGTTATGCCAGAGGCAACTTAAAATGGATTCCTAAAGATGGTATTCCCTAAGTATCCCAAAATGTTTGAGTGAACATAAAGAACTTATAGCCAAACTGCATGCACAGAACTGTCTGGTTCAAAATGCAAAGTATCAAAGGTAAAACTGAATGTGTCCAAGTGAAATTTCTAACTTCTTATGGATGCAGACTTTTCATATAAAGCAGTTGGTTTATTCCAGTCTCCAGTAGCAACCATCACAATAAATTATTGTAAGTATTGTACTTCATTTCTTTAAAACTATATTCACCTCATACAATGATATCTGTAGTTTTTGGCTTATGAAAGATCATCTGCTAGATAATGAGTCAGGCCCAATATCTCAACACCCAGAAACAAAATAAACCATGTTGCAGTGTTTTCAGGTGAAGGCAATTGTTCTGCACAATCTATGGGTGATAGGAGCACATGGTGAGTGATGTCCAAAAATGTGATTTTTCATCTTCTAAGTGAATTTCTTTGAGCTTCGCTCTTAGTGTGATTTCAAGAAATAAAAATAGCAGGAAAATATTCAGATAAATTATACTGCACTTGGTGTTCTCATAAGCTATGATATGCTAGCTGAAGAAAAGCATAGAAGTAAACCTTCTGTAAAGCACTTTTTTTTTCAGAAAGGTGGTGGTAGTGTGGGGCAAGTTGAGCCACTGGCCACACCAACTACATTCATGTGTCATCTGGCAGACAGTCTAACAGTTTAACCATGTAATCAGATATATAGCGTTAGAAGTCTTGGCCAAGGACTCTTACTGACATGGTATTTTTTGCCCAGCAAAGGCATTGAATCCTAGTCTGCCACATGGAGGGCAACGGTGTTACCCAGTTAGCACTATGCAAACTGCGCGCCTAAATCAGTGTTTTCAAACACAGTACTCAGGACTCCATCTACCACTCGCTGAATTCAGATTCAGCACACCTAGCTCTAATGTTGAGATGCCCCTTTAAGCCATTCATCAGGTTTATTAGATTAGAGTTGGAGCTATTCTCTGAATGGTGGTAGATCTCCAGGACCAAGATTGAGCACCCCTGGTCTGCACTTTGGCATAACAATTCCAATTTAAGATAACTATTCCAATTTTGATGACTGTATGTCATTGCTCTATTTCAAAGCTAAATAAACAGAATTGGAACATCAAGTTTGCATCTTATTAAATGATTGATTGACTACAGTTTGGGTTAAGGGGGAAATTGTGTAAATTTGATTTCACATAACTATCACCTTAACCAAAGATCTGTTTAATGGGACACCACCATTTTGCATGCATCATCCTTGAGAAGGGCCTCAGCTTTCATTAAGCACACCTTTTTATGGACAGTAGCTGGTATTTTTGTTTTTAAAAATTGGCGACTCATGATACATATAATTGAATGACTCATAAAGAATGAGAATTCGTTTTTATTTGTAACCAGTAGGTCATGTTAATAGAAGTGGCTCAACTTACACCTCATCTGGGGTAAGTTGTGCAAAATACCTTTTTTCCAGACTGCACATCTACTTAACTAATTTATCTGGTCTTGATTATCAAAGAGACACAACACTTTAAGGCATACATTACCATCAGCTTTGAACAAAAATAATGCCTTAGTAGACTAATAAAACACAGTAAACTGCCCATCTCTTCTTAACCCGCTTTCCTTTATAATATACACTCGACCACAGTAGGTGTTAGCTTAGCTGTGATTTTGCTGTGTAGTTCTTGAAAATGCGATATACATTAAATGAGCATGCTGTTGTTCTTTTCCATTAGTTTGTACCACTAGCAGTAGGATCAGGGCTAAAGGACGTGTATCATACTATTTAAGTAATTTATGGCAAATTGTAGAATCAATAGAGCTTCAAAACATTAATTTCCAGTAAAGGGAGAAGTACTAGCTCTGGCACTTATGCCTGTGTGGCCCCAGTTAGACCTCTGTCAGATCTTGGGAATTATTATATATCAAGCCATCATAGGTATTTCTACTGTAACAACCCAGACCATTACTGACCCAGGGTCAACCACACATGCGGTATTTATAGCATCCTCCTTCCAGCCATTTATACCAGTTGGGTCAAGGGTCCCCTAAAGGAGAATGATTTTAGCTTGTTTGGGAAAGCGGAAAACACTGAAATCCTAACAGATGAAGGGATGGTTTGTGATATCCCAGCAGATTTTCTATCACATTTGGGTCATATGATTTGAAATGCTTTTGCTGTAATTTACAATGTGTCATGGACTTTCGGCTATGTTTGGTAAACAGTGATCTCTGTTTTGATCTCTTTTCAGAGGTTGTTCAGCTTAGTCTCCCAGAGGATGAGAGGGTGAGCGTTACCACTGTGACCGTGGGCCTGAGTACAGTGCTGTCCTGCACTATCCAGGGAACACTGAGGCCACCAATCATCTGGAAAAGGAACAGCATTGTCCTCAACTTTCTGGACCTGGAAGACATTAACGTGAGTCGCTTACTTTCTGAGAGTGCTCTTATCAAACTGACTCAAGCAGTCATTGCTATTTAGACTTTTCAGAAATTACTGCAACTGGTAGGCCATGAGTATGAAGTGAGGAGGCAAGAGTTGTTGGATTGTGTCCCTTTTCAAGGTCAGGTTGTTATTCAGACATCCATGTTCCCTTGTGAAATGTACAATCCAAAGATGCCTTGCTGTTTGAGATTCTAATGAAAGGGACAACTCAAGGTGAAACAGCAAATCAGCATCCAACAAATTCAGCTTTGCTAAAAGCATTTGCCGAAATACGCATTTTAGAATAACGTAATTGGACGGCTGCTAAATATCTGATAATCTGCCAGAGCGCTGTTGGAGTCCAGTGGCATTGATTTTTCAGCAATTAATCAATGTAAGAAGTGAAAGAAAACTCTCGTACCAAAACAAATTATAAATGGTAATATTCATTAACAGGAAGCATGCATCATATTCTGTAAGAGGCTTTCATTTTTTTGGGCAATTAATCCTCTTGCTAGCATTACGATATGGTTTGTATCGTTTGCTATAATTGCGAATAACATAATGATTTTGGTCTCAGAAGCTGGGCCAGAAGCCATACTGATTTCAAAGACCGCAAACCACATTTGGAGTATAAAAAAAAGAGATTTGAAAAGGCTAGAAATGCTTTAGGGAATGGTTGCTGGTTTAATGAAGCATTCTGTTTAGTTCACCTGCATGCCTGACAGCATGGGGCTGTGTTTATCCACTGGCTGATTAGAATTTTCTAATTATGTTGTTAATGAAGTGCTCGTTATGTGTTACTGCAGTGACAATGGTGCACAGGTCAACAAGTATATGAGCAAGAGCACCCGCACTTAAACAGCCAAAGTGTTGTAACAAGTTGTTGCAGTAATTGTTACAGAATTATCAGAGCCTGAGCTTTTAGGCTACTTTCACACTGCAGGTAAAAAAGACCCAAATTCAGTCCTTTTCTTCATCTGATGCAGATGTTTTTGTGTGGCATTGTGAACACCAAAAAAACTACACAGAATCACAAATAGTTTCAGCTCGATTTCAAATGTGGTACTTAAGCCTGATATGTGTTCGATTTACGGCAGCGCATAGGAGTCAAGCCATGTGGTTTACCCATATAAACTACGTTTTTCCACAGTTTTGGAGTTATCAGGCTGTATAAGGCTGGGATATGTAAAATCTGTATTGTCTAATACAGTTTTGCCTATACACTATGGAGAGTTAACATAAATAATTCTGTTGCGTCCAGATTTGATTTTCTCTTTTTTTACTTAATAAGTGATGTGCTCAGACTGTGGGTGGTGGCATACTGATTAAAGTAAAATTTTGCTGTTGCGCACATGCCATACACAAACAAAACAAAACAATATCAAAACAGATTTGTGAGAAATGAGCCAAACTATCAGAGCTCACCAGAATGTAAAAGAGTGTGCTGTAATAATCAGATCGTTGTCAGAGGGACAAAAGTTTTATTTTGGTAGAAGCACTTTATGTATATTCAGTGTGGTCCAAAGGTCTGAGACCTCATGGAAAATCTGGGATTTTGTTAATTTAATTTAATAATTTAAATAAGAACAGAAAGTTTCAGTATCGTGAAAAATTGTAAACAAAAAAAAAAAAGAGATTCAAATTCTGCACCAAGTCACCGTTCAAATTTAAGTTTGTGACATTGACTATAATCAAGCCTTTGTACAAAAAGGTCAGATTTGTGTTGTCTTATCCCCTCCACTCAACCCTCAGGTGAAATGGATGTATCAGAGGCTTTTGACATTTTAGTAATCAGAGTCTGTGCCAGCTTGAGTGCACATGGTCATCAAAGCAAAAAGGGGGACAAACACCAAGAAATTGTAAAATTTGAGTATATTGTGATGTAATTTATCACAATAACGATAAAGTATTGTCATGTTGCCCACCCCAACTGGCGCTCATGCACACATCAGAAATCCTTCATGGTATCGCTGTACTCTATTGCGATACCGTTACTGCTTCTAAGTGCCAGTATCAGTGCAACCCTAAACAATACATTTACTTATCTCATTTTGCAGATTATGCTGCAAGAGGCTGCTTGTTCTATCAGCTCATCACAGAACACAACCTGACTCTTTGCCCTTGATTGTTTGGGTGTGTTTTTAAATGTGACAACATTTAGCTGTTTAACTTTCAAATAAAGTAAAACTAAATGTCTCTATTCTGTATGAAGAAATGCCTAAGATTACCAGAAGAATATATCACTGTAAAGAAAATCAGAACTAGATAAATTGCTGCTGTTGCTAATGATTTTAAGGTAGAAATATACTATACAGGTATCATTGAATTTATACAGTTTGGAAGCTGTATAGTAGAGCCGTCTCTAGATTTTGACACCTGTGGGCAGTGTGACCTCATCTGAACAGTCAGATCAGAGTTCATGCAACTTTTTTATGTCAGTTTAATTCAATCTTCATAATTTTGCAGGTAGAGCAGAACATTTATGGGAACGTCATCAAAGTGTCTGTTACTATGGTTATGCTGCACATGTTTTGGTCGTTTTGGAGGACAAGTGAGACAGATGCAGGCAGTGTAAACAAAGGTCGTCTAATGAGAGGAACCAGAATATCAGCTATTTAAAGTCATGTTAACTTCAAGATGTTTTGAGTCACAGGAGCTTCACACAGATCAAGTGTCTTAATCCTGTAGATGTTGTTGTTTTGGCACAGAGTTTGCATGTCTTTGCTAGCATTCTGCATTGTGACAGGCAACCAAAGAAACTGATCTTCATTTCTCTGCTTGATCAGCTTTAAAAAAGCACAAATTCAGAAGTTTTTTTACTCTTGTCTATAAACATCATTCAGTATGGTCGTTTTAATGTCTGCTGGTTGTCCAAATTTAAAGTAGCTAAGCTCATTTTGATGTCACGTGTGAGGAGCATGCAAGTCAGTTTAGGAATGTGATCTGTTCGGATTGGTGCCAGATATAAACCACATTAAAAAGATAATGTAAACAACCAAAAAAAAATTCCAATTTTAGACACTTTTCCTGTGCATAGTCTGAATGTAGCCATGGTCTGACCAGATCACATGTATTAAACATATGTGGTTCATAGATGTATGTTCTGTGTTTATCATTTCATTTTCCAAATGAAGCTAATTATCACAATAGCAAAGGAAAATGTGCACTTACAGGGCAAACTGAGGCAGTAGCAGAGTATTTATACTTTAGTAATACTTTAGTGAACACTTGATGCAGTGAGGTAATGTTTGACCAAAATTAGGGCACTTTATGGCATAAATAATGTCAGGTAAGTGCACTCAAGCTGTACTTGAATGCTGCTGCTAAACCATAATTATGCATGTATTATTGTGCTAAATAGCCAGAAGATGCCCCCTTTCAATGTAACACTTGATTTATTAAATAAAACAACTGATTTTTCATTTTTGAAGTTAAAGAAAGGTATGGTAAAAAATTCCATTTGCACATTTTTCCATATATCACAGGTGCAGCCAATCAGCCCAGACATGTGTGCTGTTCTATTTTGCTTCTTTAGTTTTGCACTGGAGCTACAAGTCTAAGATAGCTAACAAACACTAGAAGTCAGTAGTCACCCAGATCTGTTTTTTGGAAATACATCTCTGAAACTTCTCTAAACCTGCCCTACTCGAACCCTGTCCATCTTTGTTAATCCAGATCCGTCTTTATTGAGGTCACACAAAGTTGTTACTGTGATTTAGGACACAGTATGACTTGCTGTAAACTAGCAAAAATAAACAAAACTTCACAGTTTAGCTGAACTCAGTGGGCAGCCATTTTAGACAACAGGTGTTATGCATGCCATAAAGGCATATGGACTCTAGATTAAAAATTTCTGTTGTTTCTATTTTTAAACATTAGTCTTCAATTGGAAAATTCAAGATATGACAGTTATTTATAAAAAGAAACAACAAAAAAAACAACAAAATCACCAACATACCCATATGCCTGTGTAATACCTGGCCAACACTACAGGATAATCAGGCCAATTTTCAGGCCTTTTTTTCTTTGCTCCTCCCTACAGTCCCAAAAGGTCTCCTGGTATAAGGGTGATCTTAAACGATGGTCTTTCCAGATTTTTCTATGGTGTGGGGTGTGTATAATCCAATCTTTACTCATCCAATCTACTCCCAGTCCAGATTCCCGCCCTGATTCCTACACAGTGTGACCTTTAGAGTAAGAGAAAAATCTGCCATTGGCCCATTTGGCTGTTAATATATTACAGTCACATGAAGTTTGATGATGGGTGAATCCATATTTAATGTGGGTAATTATCAATGTTCATTTGATCATGTGAAAGCCAAATAACCCACAGAACATCTATGGTAGGTCTTTATGCTTATTTGCATATTGCCCACTTCTACAATATCAGTAGTGAAGGCTGATGTTGCAATAACAATTAAGCTGCAATATATTGTGTAGCTCTGCTCTGTACCAGCACTGCTTAGTGTTGATGGAACTGCCTAATCATTGATTTGTTGTTGAGTATGGATTAAAAATTGCTTGCATAATAGTCAGTAATGCAGTAACGGCACAGGCTTAAATAATTTTGCCTGTAGCAGCAAAACATCTGAAGCATAACTGTGCTATTACACCTTGACAAAGCAGTTCACTCTTGCAATTAATTTTTAGAGTTTTGCCAATATGTCTTGGTTTACTGATTTGTATTTATTTACTTTGCAGTTTGTCTGTGTTGTAAGAACAATGCATGCATTTCACAATCAATGACTACTGCACACATTAGGATGTAATTGGATGCCTTGCCCTTGAGGCATTGTGGCCTATATTTTCTATTTACAGTAGCTTCTTCCATGGCAATTTCCCTGGATTGAATAAAACCACTTTGCCCTCTGTACCAAAAGGTGGCACAGTATTACGTCTTGAAAAGAGGGCAGTTTACATATTGAGTGGCTTCCCTTGGCCTAAGTAATTGTGCTGTGATTTTTGAAAATGGGGTGGCTAAGGTGAAGGACACTTCACTTCTTCTAACTGATAATGTGCACTTTCTTCTTCAAAGACAAAAAAATGGTCTTATTCTGATTTCATTTCCCAGCAAACATACTGAATTTGTATTAATTACTAAATGTGTGATTGGTGTAAGACATTGAAATGCCACTGATTTCAAATAAGTTCCACCAGGTTATTTATTTGCAGTGGTGTATAATTTTTAAATAAAAAAAAATATATATATGAATGCATCTGGTGTGCTTGTCCATAGAATTGTTTTGGGATATCCTCCCTCAGAAATTTTTTAGTTAACCTGAACAGTCATTCAATAAAACCAAACAAGAGACAAAATTTTAAATATTGAAGATCATGCTAAAGCAAAGCATTCTATCTAGGTAATTTAGAGTCCTGATAAACAGTGTTCGAGGTCTGCAGCCTGATAAGTGATAAAATATTTGGTAAAATTTTTTCACATACAACACCGGGCTTGGGTTAGGCTGCTTTTAAAATGAGTGATTTCTTACTATATTCCTTAAAAACTAATTTGGAGTTTTAATCTTAAAAAAGTAAGTGATGTTGCTGCCGTTTGTAAATAGCAAGTTAACAGAATGTAATGCATATTGTTCTAGTAACTTATTATTGCCTGTTCAGTGAACAAAAAAAGTTAAACAGCCAGTTTACTTACTTTTAAAAGAAAATATTTAAAATATTTCAAATAAGGAGTGTTTTACAGTGGAGTAGATTTGCCTTTTCTACAGATATTTTTGGCACTCAGGCATTTTCTCCACTCTCTTGCACTCTGCTCTCACGCGCACTCTTACCCGAATGAAACCATGGGTGATAAGAATGTTGTGTAATCGAGCTGGTGTGATACATGACTTACGTTGTAAGGTTTGGGGCTGCTTAAAAAATATTTGGAGCTATAGCCCCTGAAAGCCCAGACCAGGCGACGCCCCTGGTTTCTGCTTTGTATAGTGTACCAAAGTAGTACTGAGCTAAGTTTATAGTGTGTCCAAAATCAGCAACATTTATTAAATAGTACATAAAGAAAACCTGTATTTACCTGATCTACATGCTGTCAAAATGTGTGCAAACACTGGGCAGTGCTGTTTTTGCACTCTATTTAGAAGGAATGTACAATGATTTCAGCTGATAATTGTAACATTTTTATTTGTGTTAAATGTTTAGATTTGACGGATATTTCAAACCCTTTTTTTGAAGATTTATTTCACTCTGGTGTAACGAGAATGGGTGACGCTGAGGTTCTCACAGGGTCCACTCCTCACACTTAGAACTGTAAATGTTGATGCTGAAGAAAGTTGACACCATACAAATGGTTATTCCACGGTACTGTAGTTACATCCCCATGTTCAGCATAGACACCTGGAACTTATGTCAGTGTTTAGTAGCTGTGTTTAGTAGATAAAATGACCAATGAGAAGTACGAGGTAGGTGTATTAAGGTTGGGCAATATAACGGTAATAAGGTATACCACAGTATTTATAAATTATGCTGGTATTTAAAAATTATGTGTCAAATTTTTATTATGCCTCTGCACAGCCAAATAAACACATTCCACCCGTTTATATTTTAAAGGGGCTTAATGTTCAATTTCAGATTTCACTCTTATCGGTCACTTGACTCTGAGTTCTCTAAACCATGCATTTTAGCATCGGTTCGCTGGAACGAAGTGGAACTGTGCTGTGGTGTGAGGCACATATGGCCTGCTAATTAGCTATTGTAGACAAACACCACAGAACAGTTTTCTGCCACTCCAACCTCAGTCACTTGACTTTTACTTTCTCAGACATTAGTTTTTAATATCTACCCTTGTTTCAGCAGAGCATCACTTTGTCAGAATCATTCCTGTGCTGTGGTGTGTGGCACTGTTTGGTTTTGTCTATAGCCTGCTTGCTAAGCTTACATTCAGTAAGCCGATCAGGCTACAGACCAAACGTTTCTTTTTTTCCCTTTAGATTTTGCCTTTCTGACATTTCAGCTCCAGGTGCTCGACTTCACTCCCTCAGATTTGAATCATTATAATTTAACTTGTGTCGGTGCTTTAGTTAGCCAGAATTTAACTTGTTCTGTGGTGAGCAGAGTGTTTATCATGCTAGCTAAGCTAATTCTAACCTGCTCCTCTCTACTAGTTACAGCAGTACAGTTTTCTTTCCATATGAAAACATCTTCCTCTCCAGGCTAACTAAACACAACATGTTAAGCTGTACCACTTCAGAGACAGGCATAAACATTTATGCAAGTTTAGTCGTATGTACTCTGTGCATGCACAGACTTCTGTGTATGCGGGTTTAAGCTTAATGTGTCAAACTTTTGACAGTTTCAAATATTTTCGTTACACCTGAAAAGCAGAATGTTAAGGTGACGTAGGGCTACTGTGCTTAAATGTTATTTTATTCATTGTACCACATTTGTAACCTTATAAAAGTAAAACGCTAATTCAGATGTATTTAGTCCATATACAGAGGACCCAAAAGTTATTTAGGTACTTTGAACACTGGTAAACTTTGATTTGGTTCTTTAGTTTACTTCATAAAATCGTTAACAAATTGATATTTGTTTCACAGAAAAACACTTTTAGCTCTGTAAAGCTCTGGAAATGCAAAGTCTGGGGCTGTTTTTCATACAGTAGTGTCTGTGTGCGGATGTTCATTAATAGGATTGCGAACTCGGAAGTGTATAAAGGTGGTTTGGACGCAGACCTCTAGAAGTCTGAAAAGAAATTGCTTGAATGTAGAGCTAGGCGATATGGCCAAAAATGTTATCATGATAAACAAAATTCATATCGTTCCATATCGATACATATCGTGATAAATGTCAAATCATTATTTCTTTCAAATTTGAAGGCTGATTTCTGCTCCTGAGTGGTTATTTGCTGTTTTAAACTATCCTTTATGGTCAGAACACAACAAACACTCACCAAACAGTGGAACATTTCACAGATCTGTCATGGGAGAGTGGGAGAAAGTGTCTGGTGAGCTGTTTTTACCAGCTGGAACAGTACGGCCGCAGTTTTTATAATAGTCATAATTTAAGAAAGAAAACATTATTTTTAGCTGTCTGGTGACGAGCGCTCAGCTACCCCGTTACAAATGCAAAACAAGTGGCCAACAACAGTGCTAAACTGTTTAGTTTCTCAAGAACGTCAACTTAGTACGAACAGCAGACATAAACTGGTTCGGTAGGTCAAGAGAATAGCACAGTATTCAGACACAGGCTAGCAGACGGGTTTCTCTATTCTATCGTAGTAGTTTGAGGGGTGAACCACAATATATCAACACCAGACAAACAGACTCCTCCTTTTAGGTACGTTTAAACTGAAAGCGGTGCTTTTGTGTGTTGTTTTGATCTACAGTATCATCAATTCGCCGTGCTGTGTGAGTGACGGAGCGCTGCTTCAAGTTAGCCAGCTGCTGAAACAGCTAGTCTGGAAAGGTAGCGCTCTCCCGCTCTCCAATGCCTCACAGCTTCCTCAGTTTACTTTCGTTTAAATCAGGGCTGTAATTTACATGAACCCACTTCTTTCTTTCACTTTTGCTGCCTATGAATGCACCAATACTAAAATATGACTGAGCGCTGTAACAGTGCTGTAGTTGTGAGGACTGTGATTGTGATTTAACGCTGCTAAAGCTGGTTAGGATGTACGGGAAAGAGGTGAGTTCGCTGTAGGTCAGTACAGTTACACCAGTTATACAGTTAAACGTTCTGAAACCCCTTTAAAGTAAATGCCATTTAGTTCGTTATTGTATATCCTACCACAATGAGCTTAATGCATTTTTAAGCATGGCACATTTGTCCAAATACATTTTGGGGCCACTATATTGGCATCAACAGACATGTACATGAAAAATATTAGACAATTGTCACAGGCCCACAATTCCCATATCAGTGCATCTCTACTGTTTAGAATTATGTGATTTTGCTCATAGATTGGGTCATTGGTCTGTGTTCTGCCTGAATTTGTGGGACCTCTAACTCTCTCTCGCTGTCCCATTCTCAGAGTTTAAAGTCATGAACCTGCACATGCGAGAGGCCAATGCTACCAGAGTTTCAGAGCATGCTATTAGTTTCTCAGAATCGCTTATCCTCTGCACCTCGTTCAAATACGAAACTATTTAATGCCTTAATCCCCTTTAAGCCGCATTAAAACCCCAGGTGAGTTGTAGCATCCCCGAAAAACAACAACTGCCGCCATTAATCACGCTAATGTTGGCTATATTTTTAACCCTTGCCATTTATCAGCCCGAATGAGCATGACAGGGTGGCACACACCCCGGTGCCCGCTCACTCGCAGGAGACTGTTGATTCATAGTCTATCTATTTGGTGACTCCCTGCTGTTTTGCCCCCTCCCTTTCCTCCTCCCTTTTGTTCAATTAGGACTTTGGTGATGACGGCTCCCTCTACATTACCAAGGTGACAACCATCCACATGGGAAACTATAGCTGTCACGCATATGGCTATGAGGAGCTGTCCCAGACCCACGTGCTGCAGGTGAATGGTTAGTAATATAGCATATCTTTCACATCTAATGTTTTTGTTGTAGCTTGTGCTTTGGACTAGTTAGGGCAGGAATTTCACATTTCAGATTGAGAAAATCTGATGATTTCACTCAGAAAAATCTGACTTTTGCTTTCCCTGTTTTCATATCCAAAATAATACCCATACCATCATATGTGAGTGTATATGTAAGTATATAGAATATACAGAAAACACCTGGATAATATGTAGAATATACATTACACATTTTTTTTCTTCAAAATACATACACATCCTCTACAGAGAATACCTTTTAATGCACAGTTACTATTTATTTATTGAATTAAATAAAAAAAATTGGCTTATGCAAAAGTACATTTTATATTTTATGTTTAATTTTTCCAATATGTTCATATGTTAAAGTAATCCTGGAGATGTTTGAAAATGGTTAAACGAACACACTGACATGCAGACATTTATGACTTCTTATGTTAATGTTATTTGTATTTGTACTATTATTATTGTTTTTGTGAGCAAAATAACACTTGCTGCCCAAATAAATAGCTTTATAAATCTAATGTATCTCATCTTCTCAGATGCCTATAACTTGCCCTGCACTGCATTGCACTGTAAATAACTGTTTCCAGCTTGTCATTATTTGGCATTGCAGACATCCTACAAATTTATACGTATTGCAGTCAATTCATTAAATACGTTATTGATTAATTAGCCTATACAATCATATACTACAGTATAGTGTAATATTTAATTCACAGTACACATATTTACTTACACATTTTCATTGCTTTATTCCACCACTCAGAATCTCTGTGACTGAACACCCCAGATCCTCCATATGGAACAAGCTTAAATATATATTTACTATTTTTCTGCTAATTTTAGTGCATAACTGTATTTATTTGAGTTTAATGTACTGGAAAAAATAAGACATAAAATGTTCCATAACTTTTGCTCAGGCCACCTTTTATGTTTTATTTCTTTCCAGTATATTAAATTCAGCAAATAAACAGTAATTGTGCTTTAAAATGTGCAGAATTGTGTATGAGTACTTATTTTCTCTTAGAAAATCAACAAAACAGTTTGTAATTTGACTAGGGACACCCAAACGTCTCCACTGACTAATGCAAACTGGTACTGCATTCTATTGCATTCATTAATCTCTGGTCAGCTGGTGTAGCTGCATCTAACAGCACTACTGCAGAAACCTGAGGGCTTGCTGTTAGCCGTTATTGACGCACCATAATGTCATTTGCAGGGTTATTTTTAGCAACATGATTTGATAATCAGCCCTGTCTCGTCATCAAGAGCTCCAGAAAAAAACACCATTACTGTATGGAATCAAAGATAACAGTTTGTGTTCCAGTGCTTTGATTAATTGCTGTGTGATCCGTGTGAAAAAATAGGTGCAGCAAAACGTTTTCAATTATCAGAGACAATAAGCATGATTATGTTTGTTCAGAGGGGAATTGGTCTAATTGAAAATTGATACAGCTGCGCCTGAGACCTTGGGCACAATGCAGCAGTTTTTGTTGTGTAGAGCCAACATTCTCTCTCTCTCTCTCTGTCTCTCCAGTGACAATTACCACATAAATCGTTCTGCTTTTAGAATCATGAACATATGATGAGCTCTCTCTCTCTCTCTCTCTCTCTCTCTCTCTCTCTCTCTCTCTCTCTCTCTCCTCAGTCCCTCCAGTAATCTTGGTCTACCCAGAGACTCAGGCCCAGGAGCCAGGTGTAGCTGCCAGTTTGCATTGCCATGCCGACGGCATTCCCAACCCTAAACTCACCTGGCTGAAAAATGGCCTCGATCTGCAGCCTCATGGCTCCAAGCAGCTCTCACTCATTGGTCAGTGCTATGCCTCATTTCTCAGCTTGAACAACAATAACGTTTGTCCACAATGAAAGGAATCTAGTCAGGACTGTTTAGCAAATCTCCCCAATGTATTCACACTTTCAGCACATTTAAGATGATGTGTGGATGTATCTTGTTATAAAGAAAGTCACTTCATTGACCTCATTAGCATTTTTGTGATCATCATCTAGATGGGTGGTTCCTTATTTGTCAGGGCCCCCCACACGGTCCAAATATTTCCTTCATGCCTGTATGATGCTAGTTGGGTTGGACCCAAAAATGTGGACCATCTGGGGGACCCAAGGACCTGGTTGGGGACCTCAGATCTAGATCAACCATTGCACTGACCTAAGTGTCATTTTTGGGAATATCTACAGTATCTACAGTCGGAGATCACCTGTATTTTGCTGTCAAAACAGCCATTATTAATTTTTCAGTCTTAGAAAGTTCAACAGAACAAAACAGCTGAATAAAATGTCAGATTAGTATTTAGTGTGTCCACGTTTTTGACTTCAATTTTTTTTTCTTGCGATTTGCTTTCAGTTTTTCAAAAAAACAATCTGCAGGGATATTTTTCCATGTTTCTTGCAAACACTTCTAGTTCAGTCTTAGAAGTTGGTTACATTTAGGGCTGCAACAACAAATCCATGTTGTGAATAAAAATCACTGGCAATGAATCTTGTTATTGTTTAGTTGTCATAATGAGGTTTTTGCTCCCTGTTTACATCTCTTGAATGAGAGAAGGAAAACACAGATCACAGAGACTACAGTACAGGGTTATACATGACTAAAAAAAGTTAATGTGGGAATATTTCAGTTTAACACCACCTAAAAAGACGGTTTCCTGTAAGATGTGTAAAACAGCTCACCTTTAAAGGCAGCACAACTGTGTTATGAGGATGTAGAGAAAAACATTCATGGTAGAAAATGTAAAAAATTCAGCATACTGAGTAAACTACAATAAAGCTGTAGTCAGAAGTTAAGATCAGCATGTCATTGTCTGCTTTTCAGCAAGCTCTGTTTTAGTTGAGCAAAATAATCACATCCTTTGGACCCATATCGTTGAGTTGTCTTCTATCAGTAAAAGGATGGACAGAAACAACTGTGGATTTTTTTCAGATCTGAAGCAAGACTGGAGCTTGGTTTTCTCCTGTCTTTCAAAGATAGAAGCTTTAAGTGCTGATTATCGAATGGTGACAGTTTTGATGGGCTACCAGATCTTGCACAGTTAGGATTCCCATTTTCTTTAAATATATTTTTTTAAATCCTGTGTTTTCATTTCTTTTCCTTTGACTTTTCCTGCATACAAAAGGATTATCGTATTATCTAATCTCCTCAAAAATATCTCATTTAGCCATTTTAGCACATGGGAATGAAATTTGTAAGGCAGCTGAGGTTTGGGTTGTTGTTAGTGTGAATGTTAGTGTCTCTTTGATAGGGGAACAATCAGTGGCCCTTTTGGGAATAGCTGTTGTATGGACACAGATGTAACTCGTTGGTTTTAAGATTGGAAGGATGGAAGAGTTAAAATGGCAGTAGAGTGCACAAAAGTGAATAGTGCATTAATTAAATCGTAACACAATCGTAACAGGACTGACTCTTTGTAAAGCTATAGACAACATCCACAATTTGTTTTTCAGAGAGTTTTGAAATCACCTCCCTAAGTCCATCCCCATCTATCTTTTTAATCACTGATGCATATTGCCTGGAAATGAAACATTTTCTTCAAAGAAAGAGCGTCTGTGTTTACATCCCACGCCCCTCTGATTGCGCAGATCGCTTAATGAAGCGTTGAGGCACAGTTAATGCATCCAAGACCCACACAGCTCTCTCAAGCACCCTGAGATTACACTTACAATTTCCATTGTTATTCAAGCACTTGATTGCCAGTCAACTACCCCTCTCCCCTCTCCCCCACCGAACCCACCCACCCTTCACACTGTGGGAGTGTGTCTGCAAGGATGGTGATAATATAAACAGCCGTCTATGAAAAAGCCAATGTACTGTGGTCAGTCATGTGGGCCCTTTTTTTAAGGGGACTTTCAATTTCAGCAGGACTTCGGTGGAGCATCGTTTATGGAGCACCACCCTCATTAGAAACCACTTTATTGGCTGTGTGTGGGTCATTACTCGCTGTAATAGGCAGTTATCGACGTCAGATGCTTGAGACTGCGTGGGTTTCTTAGAGTTCAGTATGAAAATGAAGGCCTTTCAATTCAGGTCTGCTGACTGGGTAAATGGGGGTAAATGGCCGTTTTCAAGTAGCACCGAGGGGCACAAACATGGATAGGTATTTACTTTATTCTTACACCTTATGTAAGAATTCATACAATTTGGGGCTGGTTTCTCAGATAAAGATTGAGGCTGGCTCTTGACACAAGAGCATCATTACTTCTCAGTTCTTTGAGTGAGAGAGATGCATTTTTCCCTCTGAATCTACAGCTATTGAGTTAAGTAGCAAAACCCAGTTTGTTAATGTGGGTCATTTCTTTCCATCAGCAAACTAGTAAATTTATGGAAAAAACAGATGGTTTGTCCTGCTGCCTGCTGCATTGCTTATTGTCATTTTGTATATAGATCATTTTCCCTCCAACTTACGTCTTTGTTGGTTGAGAGTATTTTTCTTAGAATTTTGCAAAAAGCCTCAGTGTAGGTCACATAGAGTTAACGCAGATTTAGTTCAAATAAATACAAACAAAATCTGTTTCGTGCTATAGATTACCACAGGCACTTACGACACATTTCTCTGTACTTGGTAAGGTATGGAAACCTTGTGAGATGAAACTCACTCATAAAAGAAGCCTTTGGAAATTAGCTGAATTCTGTGAACTTTTTGAACTTGTATCCATGGCGATCAGGCAGAGGCCATCTTCAGTCTGGAAAATACTTGCGTGTCTGAGACAGTGAATTAAGATTAAAAGCTTAATTTACAATTACTTTTCACCAGAAGAATTCATGAAATGTTCTACAAAAACATGCCTCTGCATAAACACTCCTAGTGATATTCAGTAAATACCCCATGATTTGTATTACAAGGAGTAAATCCCTCTGTAAAGCCTAGCTGTATGTTATTGGAGTAGCCTGTTAGACTGTTTGCTGAACTGTTCAGCCTGTACCTAGTAAAACCAAACCTTTTACCTTATATGCATTCAATTTGTAACAGCAAACCTTTAGGTTTACTTTAGGTTTACTTCATATGCATGCGATTTGTAACCACAAACATTTACAGTAGTGAGATCATGCTTCTGTGGGTTTCCTTATTTTCTGTGATGCTAATAGAATTCTGAAGAATTTTAGTCAGCTAAACATGGCTTTATTTATGACCTGTGCATACCAAGTTTATCATTCAAATTACATAATTACTAAGGAATTTTTGTTGATCAGTAAGTCTTTTGAATAATTGTGACAGCCTTAATCTATAGTGGCTGTTCTAGATCTTAGTAGCAGTACAGATATGGTGTACTATGAAAATACTCATTGCTTCTATTATAAGTAAGTTTAGAGTCAAAAGGTTTTCATTTCTTTTTCAAGAACAAGGAATCATGTTAAAATTATTGTCTGCTAATAGTACGATACAGATGTGGCAGCTTGACATTAGGTTAAAGGTACTGGGGTATTCCTTTAATTTTCATATTCAGAGTTCCAGTGTCTCAGAATAGAATTTGTTCAGCCTTATATCTTCTTGCCCATAATTTGTCTTCTTTACAGTCTACAGTAATGTGAATTATAAAACAGCAGTGCAAGACATAATTAAATGTTTACTGAAAGGCAATACAGATGGTGCTAGATGTTATTAACTCAAGTTTATAGAAAGCTGCAGTTTCCCCAAATAATTACGCATCAGGAAGTTTTTAAGCTACCAGATACAAGGATTGTGATCAGGTTTATACTTCAAAAAAGGTAAGGGAGATGGAGTGGGTTGGGGGGGTGAAAGAGTGAAGACAGTGTGAGCAGAGGAGGGAGGGAGAGAAAGAGAGAACCTCTCAACGCACATGATATTTGACATGGCGCATGAAAGCAGTATCAGACGCGGGCGTTCTTCAGGCAGGAAGTGTTTTAAAGATTGCCGTGTTGTGATCAAGGCGGCATCAGCGGTGAGCGATAGATCTGAGGATGCAGCCATAGATCACAAAGGTCCAACGCACAAAACAGATGTCCCAGGATATCACCACATACCACAGCACTGCCTGGGGGGAAGACGAGCTTGAATCTTTTCTTTTTTCTTCTCCTTCTCTCATTTTCAATAATTCTTTTTTATTCACATTCACTCGATTTTAATCCTCAGCTAACGGCAGTGAACTGCACATCGGCAGCGTGCGCTATGAAGACACTGGAGCGTACACCTGCATTGCCAAAAACGAAGTGGGAGTGGACGAAGATATCTCCTCTCTCTTCGTAGAAGACTCTGCACGAAAGACATGCAAGTAGTCAGAATGCTTGAGCACTTTTTGAACAAAGTTATTTTTTTATTTACCATTGATTTTTTTTCAAATCCAAACAACAAAAATGGACTCTGCCGAGCCTTCCAGAGATTGCAAAAACATAAAAAAGAAGCCTTTGAAAGCACAGTTTGGAAAGAGAATGCATTAAACTATGTACATCCGTCATGCTCAACATTTCAGTGTTATGTTAGCACCAAGCTAGTGGTGTTCATTTCCCCACACTGGGTTTAATACTACTCATGTGAGCTGTATATAAACACATACGTTTGAAGCTTGCAATAAACATTAAAGTGACATATTATTTACTGTGCTTAATGCAATTTTACAGTGAATCAATCTAAAAAGCCTAACTTTGAATATTATTGGAGTAGCCTGTTATCGTGTTAATATCTACCCTGTTATCCTGTTAATAACAGCTGTTGCCAAGCTGTTCAGCCTGAACCTAATTAAACCAAACTTCATACTTCATATACATGAAATTTATAACAGCAAACAGACAGTTGTATGCAAAAAATGTGGGCATCCCTGATCAAATGACATGTTTTGTTGATTTTGTACACACTTATGCATGTTTTAATGTACAGTCACTGTTTATTCGCTGAATTTAACATATTGGGGGAAAAATAAATCATAAAATGTGGCCTGATGCTTAAACCTGCTTTCACTTACAAAATCAACAAAACATGTATGTAGCACGGCATGTGCTACCCCGGGCTCAAGGAGGACGCTGGAGGCAGGGTTCAGTGTTGCAGCAGCCATATTTCTTTTATTCACACCACAAAATAAACACAACTCAAAACAACCCAAACTATGCTGGCCACTTTTCAGTGGCTTAAGCAGGCTAGACTTTTCAGTCTCTCACACTCAAGCTTTTCAGCTCTTCCCTCTTTGTTGCTCTTGTGGCTGCTGCTCGTCCCTCTCTCTCTCGCTCTGTTCCCTCTCAGCTCTTTAAAAGGCGCTCACCCGAGCCGAGAGGGAACGAGAGCTCGCCGCTCCGCCTCCTCGTCACCGCCCCCAGCTTGCAGCTCAGCCGCCCGGGTCGAAGGTGAGGTGTAGTGGAGCAGCCTCGCTGCGTAACAGGGGCGGGGCCCAGGCGGCGGAGCTCGGGACTCACTCCTTGCCCTGGTGCCTCTCGTTGCCGGCACCGTCGTCGTCTTCCTCCTCCTCCCGCCGTCACTCGCATCATTCGGGTTACTCGGAGGAGGTCGGGCTTTGCGCTCCGCCCCCTCCCCACTCGCGGCTCTCTCCCTGCCATCCTGGCCGAGGTTCATCGCCGCTGGGTGTTCGGGCCCCGCCTTCCTGCCGGCTCTGGCGGCCGTCATCGTCAGGGCCTGGGGGGGCGGGCGCATGCCACAATGTAATTCAAACAAGGGTGCTTTGCATACAACTGTATGTGCAATTGTGTGATCCTGCTGGTGTGGGTTTCCTCTTTCTGTGAGGCTAATAAAAATCAATTTGTGTGCTAATTGCACCTCTTTTGAAAACTTTTAAGTCTGTGTAACACATTTCATCATTCAAATTGTTAACTGATCACTGAGCCAATCCATCATGAACATACATTTTCATTGATAAATTTTTCTTTAATCAAATTTAATTAAATAAGATTATGACAAACTTTATCAATAGTGTTGCCCCAGATCAAAGTAGTACCCTACAAGGTGTTTAGCTTTTCACTGTTAAGAAGGCTTTGAGAGTCAGTATTCAGATGAGAGAACAGTGTGCAGTACATATTTCAAAGCCTCATTTGATTGGTCCAGTTAATGATATATACATAAAGCCTTGTTGCTTAATTCATTCCAGCACAGAAGGTTCCTTGAAACGTGCCAAATGCTTCTGGGACAAATGCTTAATGTCTTCCTGGCAAAGGGAGTAGCGTAAGACGTATGACAAGTCAGATAGTTTATGGGACCACTCAACCTAAGGCAGCTAATTGGAAAAAAGGAAGAAGTTTACCAAAAGTAGAAGCTGAAACTCTTTTGCATATTTAGATTTATAACTTTTGACAATCATTGATGGGCATGGCCCACATGAATTACCGTGGCCGTGCTATTTATAGACGGAGCTGGTCAGTAAAAGTGTGGGGGTTCAATTTCCATATTCCCTTAGGCGTGCTGCCTTTCTAATCACTGTGATGTCTTTCATACTGCTCTCAGTGTTTTGCTATCAAGAAATATTTATGAAGTAATTTCAGTGATGTCTTATAATATCAACAGACTTGAGTGATGCACCAAAAAAAGATTGTATTTCTTTCCTTTAGCATGCTCACTCATTTAAGGGAACATACTGAGAGAATAAAATAAGGATAAAATAGACTGGATCAGCAATTCATATCATATTGGAGAATGGGAACACTGAGACTATTCATGAAAAGTTCATAAAAGTATTTTGATGGCAACTCACAAAGTGCTAAAATTTGCTGTATGGCTAACCAGCAAGATAATTAATAGTTTAGGCAGGTAGTAAAAGCAATTTTGATTGCTTGTAAAAACATAAAAATCTGAATGCAGTTGTTATATAGGACCAGGCTGAAAAGACATTTTCAAGGCTGTTCTTCTTTATAACCATCTTTCGTTCTGACCCACTAATAAAACTTGAGCACATGAAAGCTCTGTAATACATATCCCATAAATCGCCATGCTGGGATTTTCTGCTATACTGCTTTAACTCTCACTAATGGCACATGTGGTCAAAAAGAGAAAAAAGGGGGACTGCATGTGGGGTACAGCTGTGGTTATTGCAAAGGTATATCTCAGTGGGAATTATAAAGTCCTGTAATTTCATTCTAAAAAAGCATTTATCGTTGTTTTTTCTTTCCTTACCTTTTCTGGCACTCGGACACTGCAGTGGCGAACATTCTGTGGCGGGAAGAAGGTAGCGTAATCACTATGTATTTTTTAATTCTAATATGTGGCTCATTGTTCATCAAGCTCTGTCAGTGTATATTTGGTTGATTCCGTAAATGGGGTAACACTTGTGTCCTGTTGAAATTACATTTACAAATATGTATGTAAAAACAGTTCAAACATAGGTAACGTCTTTTACAACAACCTATGTGCATGTTTCAGATAACTTCATTCATTAAACTTACTTGCAGCACCACGAAATTTACACTTCACCTTAAAATATATCCATTAAAATGCACCTGAAATCCTTTTTTCATGAGTCATTCATTATGACAGTGTACATTTTAGATGTGTCCCGCAACATTCATTTAACACTGTAACCTGAACACGTTCACCCCTATGAAATAACTGATCACAAATTCAACAGGACTTTGCATTATCCAGATGAAGAACAGAATATTTATGTTGACTGGTGAGGTCTCTTTGAAAGAACAACGCTGTTACCTAAATTATAAATTAAAATATTTGCTAACTCTATACTAAAAAACTCAACTTGGCAACTGTTACATTCACCTTTGTTATTCCCTTTTAGCTATTGTGGGCAAAGAAACCTTGTAAAAAAAAAAAAAAAGAGAGTTAATTTCTGAGATGGATTTCCGCACCATTTGAATGCTTAAATGTATGTTTTCTTAGATTCAGTATTAAAAAAGGATAAAAAATGAAGTTTAACTTCTAACACTTACAGGGGCTAAAGGTGCAATCATGGAATCACCCATTTAAAAGTGGAGTCATTGGTTTTGGCAGAAGTTAGCCAAAGCTAGCAGTTTTCAGCCCCTCCTGCCTAAAACGCATATAAACATACTACCTAGACTAGAACCCCTTAATGCTGGTTGTTATCAATTGTCATAAATACAATTTTAACATGAGCGGACATTGATACAGCTTAGTAGCTCACTAGCTATTATTAAGCTGTTCACTTTAATAGCTAACGCAACATTTTCTATTTACTGTAATAGTATACTATTAACTATTTGCAGTTTCCCTCCCGGATCAGTAAAGTTCTATCTAACTAGCTGTTTATCTAACTATCTAGCTAGCTAACCAATGATAACCTTAATGAGTCTATCAGATCCCAGAGCTAATTTTATTATCTTCTGATATGTTTTCTGAAATGAATGCTAGCTATAGAGCAAAGTTAGCATCACACTTCATGTATTTCCATGTATTTTAACTCTTAGCTTGAGCGTCTGGAGTGCCGGGTCTTATGAGAACTCTGTGCCAGATATAAGGCTAGGCTGCAGTTTCCTCACATATGTTTGACACGCAAATAGACACACCTTCTTTTCGAGTGTTACTCCATCCTACTTTACAGACCTCTCACCACAGGTTGGATCACAGATCATTCACATGTTCTCAACCTCTTAGAAATATTTTTCATAAAGAACTTATTAATGTATTCAGTATCTGTGGAAGCCCTTGCCCTCTTTTATAATTTAACAAAATTCAAGATTTTAGAATCTTAGAATGTGCAGTGCATCTCATAGCTTTATTCTTTTCACCATAGACCTACTTAATTTATAGTACTGTCTGTGAATATATTAAGTGAATATATTTTACATCACAGTGCAATTATAAACTTTAAGCTAGCATTGCAATTCAATTTGAAGAAATGTTGTGATGGGGTTCCTGAGTAAAGCAACGCTCACATTATGACAGTCGCATCATGTGATGACTAAATCAGCTAAAAAAATGATTGTGCTAATTTGTTTAAATCAGTACAATAAAAGAGAATCTCAAACTCATGGTTCTAATTTGTGTGGCTAGTAGCTACCAACAGCTTTGGACTGCCAAGTCAGTTTTTCAACACAGCTTTCATTCCGCAGTTCATTTGAAACAAAGAGTGAATTGTGATCAAGGTGTGGTGAAATACTCCAACATAGATTTCTGACTGTCACACTGTAGCTGTCAGCATCAGCACCACCAATAACATACGCAGCCTATCTGAGAACTTATCTTTTACACCTTCTTTTTCGACAGCATGACAACTCTGCTGTCAGAGTAAGCATTACTCTGCTAGCGTGCACCTGCTAATTAGCAGCTGTTGTTTGCCGTCAGGTGACAGACCTGCAACTGCACTCGTTGGAGCCAATTTCAGATCCATTATTCACAAGAGATTTTAATAGGCTGCCTATCTGTGTGACAACTACACTTTTTCACTGTTTTCCTCTCTGAAGGGTCCAAAATGTCTGTTTTGTAGCAAATATCTACTTGTGAATGTAGCATTAGTTAAAGCCTGTCGATAAGTCATTGCTGATTTGGAAATATACCTACATTTTTGTTTTCGTTCCAGGGCTGAGCGTGGGAAATATGTTCTATGTTTTTTCGGACGAAGGGATCACGATACTACAGCCTGGTGACTGTGAGATTCGTCGACACATCAAGCGGAGTGAGAGGATTGTGGCCAGCTATGTGAGTAGAAATATGAGAAATTAACATCTAGTTGGAAAAAGTTGGAAAATGTGTTTGTTTGGCTTTAAAATAGGCAAATTAATAATTAATAGTTGATAGAAAAGCCTGACGTCTACCCGGAAATTCGAAAAACTGTCACGTGACACCACTGGTGTCCTACAGTGAGGATGCAGCCTTGGATATTGATATCGCCAGTGCCAGTTCCTCAGATTCTCTTGAAGACGATAAATCATCAGGGAATGCTGGGGTGACAGTCAATCCTAAGAATACAGAACAGCCCTTTAGGTTTGAGCCTGAGATAGACGAAGCTGCATCAGAGAACCATGCAGAACAGCCTGATAATTATTATTATTAAAGAGTCTATTAAAGAGTCTATTAAAGAATTTCATCACTGACACCTCATACATTTATTATTTTGAGATGAAGAGCCAGTACACATCCTGCTGAAGCCCCTGATTTACTGAAATGCTGTCCACCATGTTATACTTGTGACATATGACAAATTCTGAAGTTTTTGTGTAACAGAGAGTAGGACAAAACAACAGTCTTTGAGTCTTATTTCTAGAGTTTAATTTTGTGGACTTTTTTTTTACTATTGATAATCACAGGTTAGTCATAAAAAAAAAACAGGTGATTTTTTTTCTTCTTTAATTATTTGCAAAAAAATGGTAACAGTTTTTTGAAGGCTACCCACATAGACACTTCCTAACACATGCATAAGCATTGAATATTATTTTTTAATGTAGTACTTGAACATTTATAAGTAGCTTATGCCATTACTTGTAAGATAACATGTTTTATGATGTTTTATGAAGTAAATAACATTGCATTGACATAAGAGGCCTTAAACCTAAGTGCACTGTTGTGATGCCACATTATTACACATATAATGTGTGATATCTTATTTACATTAATATACATATGCATATTTCTGTACAAAAATCCTGTACTTGTGTAAAGTAGAAAACCCCAGGTAAATATTACTTGAGTAAAAGTAGTGGACAAAAGTACAAAATTACTTGCTTTAAAATGTAGTATCAAAAGTAAAAGTATTTTGAGTTGTTTTAGGTATTATGTTACATTATGTTCATGAATAAGACCTAATTAAAGAGACATTGTGCTTTTTGTGCTTTAACTCAAGTAGAAATATATAAAAGTGATGTATTGTGTTCTGAACCAGGCCTCTGCCTTATGAGTTCTATTACCTGAAAAGGATGCTTTGTAACAGTGTTAGAAACAGTGACTTAAAAGTTAAGTAAGTTGAAATGTCAGTTGATCTGCATGTATCAGTGAGGCTCAGAAATGAGACTTTGAGAACTATACTGTACAGTCAACTTGTCCTGACTGACTTCCTTTGCCTTTGAACATTATAACGCAAAACGGGTTGTAATTTACATTCTAGACTCTAAACTTTGTTAATATCAGATGACATCAAGGTGACTTTAACACCACATTCTTTATCTCAAAAGTTAAAATCCATTTTATGCTGTTTTCCTAGTGGCATACAGTAGATGTTGTCCAGTATACATGTTGGCCTTTCCAGTTCCAGATCCTCTACAGAGAACATACTTTGGCACAGTTACTGTTTATTTGCTAAATTTAACATTTCAGAAAAAAAGAAAACACAAAATGCTGCCTTTGCAAAAGGTTATGGCACATTTATATTTTTTACCATTATGTTAAACTGAGGAAATACATAGAAATTCCACACTGAAATTTGCAGAAAAATATCGTATTTAGGTGTGTTCTCTGTAGTGGACGTGTTAACTTATTTTCACTTACAAAATCAATTTAAATGTACTTGACTGAGCAATAACTGAATAACAGTGCATAGATGGCCTTTGGTATTTTTTATTTTTCATAAAAAATTATGTAAAAGCACTATTTGTCAGGCTCTGTTTAGGTCAACAGGAATATTTACAATAAGCATTAAAAGCATGCAAATTGGCAAATATTTGTCACTGAGTCATTGAGAGCATAAATCTTAATTGTAACACATTTTAATTTTTGGTAGATTTTAATTAGTTATTTTTTACGGTACATTTTAAATTGAGTAATCAGGTTTAGTAAATTAATCAAACTCACTTTCTGATCCTGTTTACAAGATGGTTATTATTGTATTTTATTTTTGTTTTTAGGAAGAAATGTGTCCCAAAAGCGAGGGTATTTCACCTCAGCACTGTGTGTGGGCCTCAGCGGTCAGTGTGAGGGACAAATACATCTATGTCTCCCAGCCTCTTCAGAAGCGACTGTTGGTCATCGATACTCAGGCGCAGAAAGTGGTGCAGGTAAGCACTAATTCTCCTCAACTGTGAACACAACACTACTCTCAGACCTCTGACTGTTAATAATGAACCTGCTTTGTTGTAATATCAAATTCTGTGGACCTAAGAATTGTGTATAGAGAAAGATAGAATTTAATTTGTATACTTTGTACACATTGTTAACTTTTGTTTGCTGTTTTCTCTTTTACTGTTCTTTCACTCCAGTTTTGTGAAGAACACCTGTGTTTGTTTAATTCATAGCTTTGCTTAACTTCAAATATGTGTATAATAGGAAGTTATTACAGAATTACAAAACTACCCAAACATACCTCAGCTGCCTTACAAATTTTTTCTCATGTGCAACTAAAATGGCAAAAGGAGAAATTTCCGAGGAGATTAGATAATCTAGGTAATCTACTTGCATAAGTAACAGAAAAACAAGTGAAAGGTTGGAGTTCAAATTATTGATATACAGAAAAAAAAGACCTGGTAGACCACCAGAACTGCCACCATCAGATAAACAGTGAGACTAAGAGATCCACTCTTACTTCAAATCTGATTAAATTCACTGGTGTTTCTGTCCATCTTTTCACTGTACAAAGGAAACTCAACACTATGAGTCTGAAAGGATGTGTAGCTGTCAAGAAGCTGTTAAAGAGAAAAGGGAATAAGATAAAAAAAAAAAAGAGAACATTTGGACTAGAACACGGAAGCAAGTGTAAAGTTCTATAGACAGATTAGTCTGCCTTTGTAATTGGGATCAAATGTACCATGAGAAGCAGAAAATGCAACCATCTTCTGAGGAAGTGTGGAAGGATTTCTGCAGATTTTTTTGAAACACTGACAGTTGTTGAGGCTTCTGTGTGATTTTCTGTGAAATATATGTTATGTGATCCTGATAGATTAATAACTTGTACTTATTGGCCATTTTGACTGGAAATGAAATAAATAAAAGCTGATCTCTAACTTTTGCAGTGCTATAAACTGATATATATTTGTAGTGGTGCTTTATTGTTGTCTGACTAGGTGCATATTTTTAATCAGGTGTGTAAGGCAAAGAATCTGGTAAGATTGCGACAGAGAGCGATGCTATGAGAGAGTCTGAAAAATTGCAGTGTCGAGAGACCCAGCAGCAGAGGCTGGGTGAGATGGATGGAGGTGGAGGGCAGGAGTGAAAGACTGCAGCTATGCTCGAAGACAGAGGGAGAGAAGGTGACAGATTTAAGAGTAGGACAGAGAGGTTTTCCAACAAGCAGGAGAGATACTGCTGAGATACTGTGTGTGATGCGCACACAACAACTCGCTGTGCGTGTGTATGTGTGTGTGTGTGATGGGGTTGCAGGTTAATGCATGCCTCCGGGTCTCAACAGGCCCCTCGGCTCTAGCACTCAGAATAACTATTTTAGGCTGGATACTCCCACCAGCTAGCAAATAACACCTGCACTGCACTGCAATCATGTCTGAACAATCATCTGACAAATGATTTTACTCCCACTGCAATCCCCCCATGATGGGTGTTCTCCTCCATAACTTAGGATAACAGAAGCGCCATTCATTATACAAGTCTATAATTCAGTGCTGTCTTCCGTTTTTATTGAAAATGATCATTTTCTTCTAACACTAATACATAATTAACATTTTAACTGATGTTTCTAATGTGATGCAGACATATGTGACATATCTGTCCATGCTACAAATGAATTAAAGAAGGTGTTTACATGGATTAGTCTTTTCTAAATTTAAATTAATTAGAGACTACTGATACAGTTGTATGCAAAAGTTCAAACACCTCTGGTCAAAGTACATGTTTAATTGATTTTCAAAGTGAAAATAAGCTGATACATCCAATTCAGTGAACCTGAATATGGCATTTTTCTGCAAATTTAAGGACATTTTCAATATATTTGCTGAATTTTAACATATCGGAAAAAAATAAAACATGAAATATGACAGCTTTTGTGCAGGACACATTTTATGTTATTTATTTATTTTTTCTAATATGTTAAATTCAGCAAATAAACAGCAATCGTGCATTAAAGTGTGCAGAAAACATGTTTTCTGTTGAGGATGTGTTAACTTGTCATTTGACCAGTGGCACCCAAACTTTTGCATATGACTATAAATTAACAATAGACAACAGTAAAGAGCAGAATTTGATGTGATACACACATCTGTCGTGTTCATAATTACTGTTATTCTATTCAGTAATAACTTATACAGTGTAGATTGCAATATTAAAGCTAGACACCAGTATTTAAGATGTTTTATTCAATATTTCAAATGGGACATCAACAAGTTAGTAAATGATAAATAATACACTGTACTTATGTATTTATAGTAATTTATTGGTAAGTGACCTGCCTATGTGTGTTAATCACATAAAACAAAGAGAAAGAGCAAGTAATATAAAACGTACAATATATTATCAAGCATCACATAAGGAACACAAGCATATATGTGTATCTATATATAGCTTAAATAGAACAATATCAGTTTATTTATCTGCAGCACAGAATGCACAAAGACAAAACATGCTGTAGCACAAGAATGTAGATTTAATGGCACACTGCACAGAATGCATGACAAAATAGATATTACATCTAACGTTTAATTATAGCTTAACTGCCCTACTGTTAAGTTATAATGTTTAACTACTGGCAAACAAGGACGGATTCTGGACCCAGATTCTGATTTGAGTCTGAACCCAGGTTTCTAGGTCAAAAGTTGCTTTGTGACAATATTAATATTCGTTTTTGTTTGTTCCATTAAAAATTGAATACAGTATAGCTTGAAATGTTACACATAAATGTATAAATCTAATCTACTATAACATAATTGAAGTGCGTTTCAAAATTCCAAATGTTTGCACAATAGTGTACACACACACACACACATATATATATATATATATAAAACCCCATTTACAAAAAAAGTTGGGAAGCTGTGCAAATGAAAATGTAAATGTTGTATGTCATGTAAAGTGTGTAATGTACATAAAACAGAATGTAATGATGTGCAAATCATTTAAACCCTATATTTAATTGAAAAAAATGTACAAAAACATGTTTTAAAAAAATGCACAAAATTCAATGTTTTGAATTTAATGCCAGCAATTTAAAAAAAAGTTGAGAAAGAGACAACAAAGGACTGGTAAAGTTGTGTAATGCTAAAAGAAAACACCTGGTGGATCAAACACTATATGGACAAATGTATTGGGACCTAGCTTTAATCATTCGGTTCTGTTCAGGTGTTTAGTAAGTAAGTAAGTAAGTAAGTAAAGTTTATTTATATAGCGATTTTTACAACAGGTGTTGTCACAAAGCAGCTTTACAAGGAAATGAGCATTACAAAAAGAAATCCGGGTCCAAGCCCCCATGAGCGTCGCCAGTGGCGATAGTGGCAAGGAAAAACTCCCTAAGAAACAGGAAGAAACCTTGAGAGGAACCAAGACTCAGAAGGGGAACCCTTCCTCCTCTGGTCGACACCAGATAGTAAACATTGTTAGTATTGAAAGTATTGTAGTACAAAAACAGGGAAAGAGGTCGAGCAAACTATTAATTTGAATAGATGTTTCATTCAGTCCCATTGCCACAGGTGTATAAAATCAAGCACCTAAGCCATGCAGTCTGCCTTTACAAACATTTGTGAAAGAATGGGCCGTTCTAAAGAGCTCACTGAATTTGAGTGTGGTACTGTAATAGGATGCCACCGTTGCAACAAGTCCACAAAATTTCTTCCCTTCTAGATATTCCACGAGAGTGATATTATTGAAAAGTGGAAGCATTTAAGAAGCACAGTAAAGCATGTAAAGTTACAGAGCGAGCAATAAAAGACTTAATAACTGCAGAGTTCCAAACCTCCTCTGGCATTAGCATCAGCACAAAAATGTGCGCTGGGAGCTTCATGGTATGGGTTTCCATTAGCAGGCAGCTGTATGCAAGTCTTACATCACCAAGCACAATGCCAGGCATTGGATGGAGTAGTGTAAAGCACTCCGCCACTGGACTCTGGAGCAGTGGAAACATATTCTGTGGAGTGACAGATCACGCTTCTGTATCTGACAGTCTGATAGACCAGTCTAGGTTTGGCGAATGCCAGGAGAACGTTACCGTGGAGGAGGGATAATGCTATGGGGTTGTTTTTAGGAGTTGGTCTAGGCCTCTTAGTTCCAGTGAAGGGAAATGTTAATGCTTCAGCAAACCAAGACATTTTGGACAACTGTATGTTTCCAACTTTGTGGGAATAGTTTGGGGAAGACCTTTTTCTGTTCCAGCATGACTGAGCCCCAGTGCACAAAGCAAATTCCATAAAGGCATGGTAGAGTTTGGGTGTGGAAGAATTTGACAGAGCCCTGACCTCAACCCCATCGAAGACCTTTAGGATAAACTAGAACGGAGATTGTGAGCCAGGCCTTCTCGTCAAACACCAGTGTCTGACCTCACAAATGCTCTTCTGGATGAATTGGCAAATATTTCCACAGACACTCGCTTCCCAGAAGAGTAGAAGCTGATATATCTGCAAAGAGGGGACCAACTCCGTATTAATGCCTATGGATTTAGAACTGGTAATAAAAGCTCCTCTAGGTATAATGTGTAGGTGTCCCAATATATATATATATATATATATATATTATATATATATATATATATATATATATATATATATAGTGTATCAGCTAATTAGGTTAATTGGCAACAGGTCAGTAACATGATTGGGTATACAAAAGAGTATCTCAGAGAAGCTGAGTTGTTCACCATTCTGTGAAAGACTGCATGGTGCAACAGTTCCAGAATAACGTTTCTCAAAATAAAATAGCAAAGAACTTGGGAATTTTACCATATATGATACATAATATCGTTAAAAGGTTCAGAGAATTTGGAGAAATCCATGTACACAAGGGACAAGGCTGAAAACCAGTACTGTACGGCTGTGATCTTCGGGCCTTCAGGCGGCACTGCATTAACAATAGACATGATTCTGTAGTGGAAATCACTGCATGAGCTCAGAAACACTTCCGAAAACCACTGTCTGTGAACACAGTTTCTCACTGCATCCACAAATGCAAGTTAAAACTCTACCATGCAAATAAAAAAAACATATATAAAGAGGATCCAGAAATGCTGCTGCTTCTCTGGGCCCGAGCTCATGTAAGATGGACTGAGGTGAAGTGAAAAAGTACCCTTTGTCTAATTTTTTAAAAGCATCGACACACACAGTTCAAAAGCCCGCATCCGTGATGTTATCAGGAGTATTAGTTTACATGACATGGGTGACTTGCACATCTGTGAATGTACCATTAATGCTGAACAATATATACAGATTTTGAAGCAACATATGCTGCCGTCCAGATGACGTCTTTTTCAGGTAAGGCATTTCAGCAAGACAATGTAAAACCACATTCTGCACGTATTACAACAGCATGGCTCTGTAGAAAAAGAATCTAGATGCTAAACTAGCCTACCTGCAGTCCAGACCCGCCACCCACTGAAAACATTTGGCCCATCATTAAATGAAAAATACAACAAACTGTTGAGCAGCTGAAATGCTTTATCAGGCAAGAGTGGGGAACATTTAACTTTCAAACCTACAGCATTTGGTTTCCTCAGTTTTCAAACGCTTACAGAGAGTTGTTTAAAGAAGAAGTGGTGCAACACAGTGGTAAACATGCCCCTGTTCCAACTTTTTGAAACGTGTTGCTTGCATTAAATTCAAAATGGGCATATATTTTTCAAAAAACAATTACATTTAATACTAACTAATAAAAACATTTGATTATTACTATTGTCAATTAATTATTGGGTTTAAATGATTTACATTTTGCACAGCGTCCCAACATTTTTGGAAAAGGGGTTGTATATATGAACTAAAAATTGAGGACTACTGCCTCAAGCCTACAGCCAAACGTGAGTCTCTGATTAAACTCTCATTGCCTTCTCGTGTCTCAGTGGAACTACACAATCTCCTCATATGGCAGGTCTGGCAGCTTTATTTGTATTTCTCTTAACAAATTAAAGAAGACAAGGAGGAAACGGAGCCCTAAAGCCAAGGGAGATTGCCAGAGCCACTGAAGCATCAGCGAATTTCACGTTCCCAGCTCAGTTTCCTGATTGTGTTGCAGACGCATTTCGTAATGTAATAAGGATTTCTCTTTTTGTCTGAAGTCTTTAGTGCCTGTTTGTATGACATACTGTCAAAAGTCAGTGATCAGTTCTTTTATTTCATTTTCAGTCAAAATGGCCATTAAGTTCAAAATTCAAAAATTATTAAAAGATATAGAGAAAATATAATGGCGAACAAACATGCAACACATGGTAGACCACAGAAATTGTCCCCATCAGACAAACAGTACTTAAAGCTTTCATCTTGGAGTGGAAATCAAGCTCCACTCTTGCTTCAGATCTGAAAAAATCCACAGGTGCCATCCTTCCACTGTGAGAAGACAACTCAACGCTGTGGATCTGATAGGATGTGTAGCTGTCAAGAAGCCCTTACTGAGAAAAGCAAATAGACAAAAAGCAAGACAGTTTGCAGATCAAACAAAGAAGGCTCTGGTGCTCTCAGAAAAATTCACTGGCCATCCCAGATTGTTAGATGGTGAGAAGCAGAATATGTAACCAGCTTCTAAGACTGAACTTTGCAGGTGTAGAAAAAAATGTCCTTTCAGGTTTCTTTGAAAAACTGAAAGCAAGTCTGGAAGATGTAATAAAGGCAAAGTATGGACACAAAATACTAAAAAAATGTACATAATAGTTGAGGCTTCTGTGTATTTTTTTTTTTGTTAAAATTTTCTTTTTTCCTGATTCTGAAATATAAATAACTTATATTTAATATCTGTTTTGACTTGAAATTACATGAATGGTGGTCTGTGACTTTCGCATGGTGCTTTAAATGGTGTTAATATGTTTAAAGTCGATGTGATTTATAAAATCTTTTAACTTTTTCTTCCATACTGAGACATATTTCAGAGGGAAATGCAGTATAATGGAGGGTCTCTGATGTAGCTGAGCTTTTTTCATAGGGAGGTTCGTTAATATTATTTTTCCCTGCCTGCTGGTGGACAGTGAGGTAATCAGCGACTTTTTGAGGCAAGCAAAAGTTACTGTACTTTGATCAAAGATTATATAAAAACAAGATTTTTTTTTTTTTAATGTTACGGGATGACAAACTGTGAGGAATATAGCCAGGGGCATGAAATAATAAGGTAAAAATGTTTTTGATTGTTGACTGTGAGAAAGAACAGTCTTCATGTACATAATGTTCAAGAAATGCTTTTATGTGATTTATTCATGTTGAATAGGATAGAACACAGCAGCTGAAAAAAATGAGTTTTTAGAGTGAGCCATGTCAGTCAGCCTCACTGATTTGAAGCCCACTCACATCAGTTTTGAACATTAGCCAAAAGGTCATTGCCCTCAGCTTCACTCCACTCCTACTCCTTAGTATGAGTGGCACGTATCCGGTAGAAAAAAGAGGCGCGGCCCACCCATTAACCAGCACATTTCTCTGTTCCACATCAGCGAGGGGTGGACAGCAGGCTGGCCCTGATTGCAGAAGTGGTTAATCCACTTGTTGTGGCCACCGTTCTGGGCCCAGAGCACAGCTCCTGCTTGTGGTTTTTCTCATTAGCGTGAGGCTGTACCACTCAGGAAAGGTCAATGGGGGTTCGTGAGTGGTTTTCAACAGTTTAGCACACTAAAACTTTGTTTGGACTATCAATAGAACAAAAAGGCCTTTCAGAAATGGCTTGGATACCAGGAAAAATTGCAACCTTACATTAGGGGGCCCTAATAAGCTCACCAAAATCTAAACGAACATTTTTAAATGGGTTTTGACATTTTTAGTGATATATCTTATAAAAAATGAAAGATTAATCTTTCTTTCAAAGGTAATAATCAAGAATGCTTTATTTAAAAAGTGATAAAGAACAAAAAAGATGACAGTTGTAGACTGGGCTTAAAGGGGGCTCCTTGTACCCTTTACAACTTTCATACTGTACTCAAAAATTACTAAATAAATAAGAAAACAGGACATTTGAAACACTGACATTTTTTCATTTGAAAACCCAACAATGCATTCTAAAATGTTGTCGATTGCATAATACACAATGAAGAAAGTTCGTACAGACGTGTGCAAAAGTTAGAGACTATCCTGAATAATTGGGGGTCTCTAACTTTTGCACAGTACTGTATAGACCTCAAAGCATTCAGCTTTCCCCATCTTTTTTCCATCATAGGCCGTGGAAACAGACCCGGTGCCAGTGAAGCTCTTCTACGACAAGTCCCATGACCAGGTGTGGGTGCTGAGCTGGGGAGACATACAGAAGACCCACCCTACCTTACAGGTAAGGAAGGGGATGCAGGAGTCCAACTTTCTTGGCTTAATATTAAACTAACCTTAGACTACTTTGTGTTAAATGCTGAAAGCATTCAGTAATTTGTAGTCACACATGTCTTAGCACTGTGTATATGTACAGCCATATGCAAAGGTTTGGGCACCCCTGCTTAAATTACAGATTTTGTTGATTTTTAAAGTGAAAATAAGTGAGCACATTCACTCCAGAGAACAAACTTGAATATGACAGATTTTGGTGTACAATTTCTATGTGCGGTTTAACATCATGGGGAAAAAAATCAAATATAAAATGTAGAACGTTTGCACAGGCCATACTGATTTTTCTTTGTTAAATTTGGAGAAATTTACAGTAATTGTGCATTAAAATGTGCAAAAGTGGTGTTGAGGGACGTGTTGTACTTCCACTTAGAAGATCAAAAAAACGTAATTTGACCAGAGGCCCCAAACTTCTGCATCCGACTAAATATACGTCACGTCATCAATCTCATTACATTAACCTACATTAGATCATCAGATGTAAACAGCGACAGTATGCTTTGTGTGGTGTGTACAGTATCCTGTTTGGTCACCAGTTCCATTTTTTGGTTTGAATTCCTGAATTAGACAGTAAACCCCCTGTGTTACACAGTGATGTTAGCCCTTCTGGATATTTAACAACACTGGGTGAGAATACTGTATATGTGTTTTGGGGGATTTAGCTGTAGGGCTGTCTCTCAGTTGTCTTACTTTGGGGACAGCCATTGCCGTCATCCTGTTTATGATTTGCCTGAATTGTGAGATGTCCAGAATAGGCAGGGGAGCACTGCAGGACTCGGCACCTATTATTCTCTGTCTTTCACCAAGGAAGAATCCCATTAAAATGCTATAAGGCCTACTGTCTCTACACGGAGATAAAAAACACCTTATTAACAAGGGAATCTATTTCAGTCCTCGTCAGGTTTCCCGCTCATTGTTGTTCATGCTTTCTTCTCATTCACGCAAGAACTGCATGGCCTCACATAAAGACGTGGGCAAAGAAAGACTCTTTTATCTTCCCTCCGGTTTGGTTAATTCATATTTTTACACATGTCGGAAAAAAAAAAGTCCTTGTCCATGTGTGCAACAGTGCTCAACAGTAATGAATAATTAGCAGAATGGGCATGAATCACTTAAAAATGCTAAAGAGCAGATTTTGCAGGGAAGCTACATAATGGGCTGTAGGGCATATGGATCCTCACCACAAATAAATGGCCTGATAATATCATGATCGTTCAGAACACGGGTAATTGACCTGGGCACCGGCAATTTGCGGAGGCTAGAGGCAGTACTCTCGCTCGAGTGGTGCAATATCAAACCAAGCATTTTTTATAAATGACTCAATATCCTTAGTCAAACATCTGAATTTGATTGTCAATTCATTAGATTAAACAAACGAGCAAACCACCAGCGTTAAGGGAGATAGAACAGCATTTTATTAGCTTGGCTCAGGTCCCACAGTCATCACTGAGAGTGCGGTTTTTCACAGGAGAAAGAGAACTGCCTTGTTTGCATTCATAATCAACCACACCGGTTACCTTATAAACACTGAATTTCCGACATCTGTTGTGTACAAAGCTGAAAGATGTGTTTTGTGTAATCATGATTCTGCAATGGAGTTCTTTCAGCATTTATATCAAAGACATCATTGTGCTAATAATTGAACTGTGGTTAAGCGTATAACTTAAGATCAGAATGCAAATTGAAAAGGAAACAAGAAAATCATGACTTTACTTAATCTGCAAATAATCACAATATAGTTTGGGTAGCCTGCTGTCTGTGGGAATGTGTCTGTTGTCTGTGGGAATGTTAAATTACTGATATTTCCGGAAAAATGGCAACACTTTACTGAAGGGCAGTGTTCATACTGCATAAGTCTTTCATGACAACTTAAACCTGCACAGACATTTGTAAAAGTTTGTTAAAGTTTATTCCTGGAGGCATCTGTTTAAAAATGTTACTGTACATTGATGTCAGTTGTCATGTTTTCTTATTTTTGGTAATATGTAGCCTTACGAATGCTGCCCTTCAGCAGGGTGTTAATGGAAATACTTACTGATTAATGTTAAGTTAGATTGCTAGGGGTAATTTTGAAAACACTGGCTACCCTATATGTCCAAATGTATCCAGACATCTCTTCTAATTACTTAATCATCTACTTTAGGCTTCACCTCATCAAATCAATTCAGAAACTAATTTAATACCCATCAAATGAGCAATGATAAATGCAACAGAGTCACAGGTCTCCAAGCCCCTGATAATGATTGATCACAATGCTGCCACAAGTCTTTACCCGGTCAACCAGCCTGGCCTTCAAACTAATATAGGCCAGCTTCAGCATAACTAGCACAGGACAGCACTCTGACAGAGTGGACCCTTTTTTTAATTGCAGTTTTCATTACAGTACTGTGCTGAAGTCAGCGGGCACCCTTTCACTTGTTTAATTCCAGTGAAAATAGCCATTAAGTGCAAGTTATTATTTTTCAGCGTCAGGAAAGAAACTGAAAATTTTTAACAGAAAATTACACAGAAACTTCAGCAACTAAATATAAAGTCACATTGTTCAGTATTCAGGAGACTTCAGTCCAATCCCATTTCTTATTTTTACCCCTACCCCTTGTTTTTGAGTGTCACCTTGCCCCTTGGAACTGAGTAACCTCGCTGCTGGTCTTTAGTTAAATTTAGGACATCATATGCCTTCAAAGAGGGGGAATGCGACAATTATTTATCACCCCCCCTAATTCTTCGGAGATATGAAGCTGAAGTCAGCTATTCTCCAGCTTCTTATTGGAATTCTTCCGTTGCATCTTAAAGCGTGCATCAGTTGCATTCTGGCGCCTCAGGTGGAATAGGAAATTTAGCTAGCTAGCTACTAAGACATTAGCGTATTTTCTAAGCTTATGATGAAAAGGACCATAATACATTGAAACAACATTAAACTAAGTTAATGCAATGGTTAATAATTAATAATGTAACAGAGAAAATACTCAGATTTGTGGGTTTCTTTGGTCTCTTGTCCAGCCATCTTGTTCCTGCTTCTTTTTCCTCATAGCACTTCGTTTGGAGTGAGCCTCTGAAAAAACTCCATTTAGAGGGCCATGAATTCCCAACACTTCGCCCTACCCCTCTATCTCAACAAAAATCAGGACACCCTACCCCTAGGCGTGAACATACAAAATGGAGGGCTATGGGCTAAGTGGTAGGGACAAGGGTTGAAATGGGATTGGGCCTTCCTTTCTTTTTCAAGAAATCTACAGGAATACTCTTCCACACCACCAAAGTTCAGGCACATTCAGTGGTGCTGAGGTCTGGGCTCTGGGGTGGCCAGTCCATTGTTCTGAGAAAACCAGCAGCTTCTTTGTCTATTTCCTTTTCTCAGTAACGGCTACTTGACAGCTTTACGTCCACTCACACCAAAAGTGTTGTTGTCTTCTCACAATGGAAGGATGGACAGAAACACCTGTGGATTTTTGCTTCGGACATGATGCAATAGTGGAGCTTGATTTTCTCCAGTATCTCAATTATGAGAGCTTAAAGTACTGTTTATCTGATGGTGACAATTTTGCTGGTCTACCAGGTCTTGCAGGGTTTTTAGGAGTCACATTGTCTCTATAACTTTTAATCAGTTTTGATATTTTCTTATGCAAATGTTTCTAATCTCTTCAGAAATGACTCCTGAAAAAGAAATACCTTGTGCCTAATGGCCGTTTTGTCAGGAAATGAAATAAATGAAGAGGGGTCTCTGACTTTTTCACAGTACTGTATATTTCTGCCCTTTTGTTTTTCTTTGGTCTTTGTTCTCTGGTTGCAACAACAAAGCTGCTTTCTTATTTGCTTTAGATTCTGAAGAAGTATGATATTTTTGGTAAACGCTGGGCACATTAATAGCACAGCAGTCTCTGGCAGTGTCCAAACACTGTGCAGGCCATGATTAAGCATTTGTCGTGAAAGCTGCAGGGTGGCCCACACCAGAGACTACACACGTACTCCATTACCATGGTGATAAGATAAGATAAACCTTGAAAGCAGTGCCTCTGTATCTATATTTATCCAGAAATCTCTTTTATGTTCCATAGGATGGGTTCTGTTCTTACATCCTGTCCCGTTTCATCCGTATTTTAAATCTGTTTATTGCGTAGTTTGAATGATGCTATGCCACAGTGTTTGAAATATTGTTTTTTTTCTTTGCTTACATTAGTATTGCACTGTTTCAGGTCATTGCGCAGGCCAGTGTAGGAGAGCTGCACCACACCATCCGCACCAAGTTCCAACGGGTAGAGGACTTCTACATCCCACCCACCAACCTCATTATTACTCACGTTAGGTACGAGATGTCAGCTACCCTGGCATAACCTCTAAAAACTCATCAAAATTATAATTCCTAAAAGGAGAAATGGGCAAATTATAACTGTAATTAAAAAGAAAGTGCTTAGTGAATACAAAAAAGACTATTAACCTTTCTTTGACCATTGTCGTCTCAGGTTTGGCTTTGTCTTTTTGAAAGCGGAGGCTGCGGTGCATAAAATTGACCTGGAGACCCTCCATCGCGTCAAGACCATCAGTTTGAAGAACTATAGCTGTGTGCCTGCGAGCATGGCTTATACTCACTTGAGTGGCTACTACTTCATCCAGTGCCAAGGGAAGAACAATTCCAGCCCACAGCTTCTGGTTGACAGTGTTACTGATGCCGTCATTGGGCCTAACCGTGGTGTCACCGGACATCCTTTTGTGTCACCAGACGGTCGCTATGTGGTCACACCAGACAATGGGAACAGCAAGCTTCAAATTCAGACCATCTCATTCCAGGGTGAACTTCAGTTAGGCCCAAAGTTGGACGTCCCAGCTCCTGTATCAGACTTGGTTTTCCAGCCATCTTTTGCTGAGTCCAACCAGTATGTGACGGTCACCTCCTCGGCTCAGGGTTCTGACCTCCTCTTTTCCAACCTGTCCACGGGGGCGAGCAAAGTGGTCAGGAGCCTCAAAGAGCCGCTTCCAGCCAAACACTGGCCTTGGGGCAGTGCCAACAGAGTGGTGGTATCCAGTGGCCTGTTTGGGCAGTATTTGGTCACACCTTCAGCGGAGTCACTGTTTGTTCTGGACGGCAGACAGAGCAGCCTTCACTGTGAGGTGTCAGACATCAAGCGAGGAAACACAGTGGTCTGGATCGGCGAGGTATGAGCCATGGACCGCTGGCCGGTTCCGCGCCCATCGGCGTTGGCCAGTCAGGCCAATGCCACGGAACACTTTCGAATGGACATAAGTGGACTCAACCCTGGGACTGAGCGAGAGGAACACACACGGGTTACTGTAAGAAAAGTACACACACACACAAAATAGAGTAATTGACATCTATTAAGGAACCTATTACGTTAAGAGGGATTGGGTGATGATGCCCTTCAGTGCAACAGTGATCTATGAGCACTCACCCAGCCAAGAGATGTACATTTTTTTGCACTTCCTTGTAACACAGATATAGTAAGTTAAGCAAAACAAGAAAGGATAGATGACAAACCTTTTGAAAATGAACTATGCACAAAGCTAATATTAATTTCTTTAGACTTCAGCATTTTGTTTTGTTTTTCCCAGGATGTCTGTCTATCACCAATGCTGCATATAGTCACTATAAGAAATATGTCTGTCAAATGAAAATGTGTCTTTTTGAAACTACGTTCTGTCTCTTGCTAGTGAACATGATAGTGTCTGTCTGCCTTGTCAAAACGTTTTCTTACTAGACTCAAATCAATGGTTTGTTACACAGTCTTCAGTCTCCATTAAGAATGTTCATATTCCACCAAGTTCTGTTGGTTATTCATTCATTAAAAAGCAAAAATATACAGGAACATGTCCTGATCTAGATCAAGTGAAGTTGTGAAAACCCTTCTTACTAGCTACAACCTTTTATCCTCAAAGCCTGTCTGGTGCAAAAATGTATTTATTTATTTCTAATATACATATATTTTCTATTAAGTATACACCAAGCACATCACAGAAGTTCTGGCTGAATCACATATTATTCTCAACAGTTTCTTTTTTCATTTCTTTAGTATTCATTTTGTTTGTTTTTCTTATTTTCCAAGTGCCCCTGACATTTATAGTATATATGTTGCAACAACATCTTATATGAATACAACAAAAGTCCAGTATCCTGTTATTTATGTTCAAATGTTATTACAAATGCCACAGTACATATAGATCAAGAAGAATGAAAGTAATATGCAAGAAATAAAAAAATGAGAATAATTTGATTTGGGCCTGATGCAATAATACACTACTGTTCAAAAGTTTGGAATCAGTAATATAAAACAGATTTGATTGCATGTACCAGGGGCATAGGTACATTGGGGTCTGGGGGGGGCTTGAAAACCAGGACCCCCTCCCCCCCCCCAACAATTCTGATCAGTAAAAAACAGTTCTATGATGACAACGAAATTATTACAAAATGGAATACTAGTTGTGCAAAGGTGCTGTTTCTTGCATTCTTATGGCTTAAACAAATAAAATACACTATCGCAAATTATGGCAGATGCTGTCATCATAGCAGCATTCACATTTCTGTGAATTGGCGTCAATTATGCAAAACTTTTTCCCAACATGTAAACAGAGCATTAGCTTGCTCCATTGTTTGGTGAGAACTTAGCTGGAGAGTAGTAGTACTTTATTGTGGTGAAGAAAACAAACTTCAGTACTGTCAAAACAAACGTCTACACCCATTCGCACTAGACCTTAACACTTAAGTGACCCTTATTAGTCCCACAACAGGGAAACTTCACCGCCGCATTTTGACCCATCCATGCAGCAAAACACCACATACACACTGGTGAACACGCTTGTCCGGAGCGGTGGGCAGCCCTATCCACAGCGCCCAGGGGGGCTTCAGCTTTGCTCGAGGGGACTTCCTTCACGCTTCACGTCAGCTTGAGGGATCGAGCCGGCGACCTTCTGGTCACAAGGCTGGTTCCCTAACCTCCAGCCCGCGACTGCCCCAACAGAGGGCTTCCCTGACCGGGAATCAAACCCAGGCCGCAGTGCTGAGAGCACCGAATCGTAGCTACTAGACCACCAGGGTCTTAATTAATTTAATTAAGGGACACTTAATGGTGAAAAAACTAGGACAACAGTTAACTAGCCTTTACTCGCTGGGGTATGCTGTCAGTTTTTATAGTAGCTAAAATTAGCCAGTTAAATGCATGGTGAGCAATCATATGTTTAATATTTTAAAAAATTGTTTCCCTCTGATTACCGCATGAGTAAATTTCTAACAATGTAGCTATAATGAAGTTGGCTAGTTGGAAATGGTCTTTGGGCCTTAATGCTTGATAGCTGGCCCCCCATCCTGTAAATATGCCCCCCTTGAATGAAATTCTGACTACGCATTGGCAGGTACATGCAACTTCTTAGAATTCAACTAATTCGTCTGATAATCTATATCTTCTAATCAAGAAATTACTGTGAAAACATAATTACAAATTATATTTTGTCATTTAATAATTTTTTGGTGTTCCCAAAATACTTTATTGAAATATTGAATTAACCAGTTTGAAATACCTTCTGATATGGGTATAGTATACTATAGGGTACAATATTACAATGTACACTGTTTAGGTAATAGAATAAAATAACAGCAGTTATTAATATTACAAATGATTCTACAAGGTAGTGTATATAAAATATGTAAAATCTGGATTTAAGTGGTTGTTGATTTTAAGGATTTACTACGGTTTTATGTATAAAAAGGTCATAAATTGGTTGGACTTAAAGTAAGGAAGTTATTGACTGTTCTAGCTGCTTCTTCTTACAGAAATAGTGCCTCCCCTAGACAACGCTTTGCCAGATCCCACAAGAAATCACCCCAAAAAAGCCAGACTGTGATTGTAACACTGGGGAGCTTTTCTTGTACCTTCAGTCATTAAGTGATTTCATACCCTTTTCAAGTGGAAAAGGAGTTTTTAGCAACATCAGACCACTGTTGCACTGATGCAAACTGAAGTAATACGACCAATTTAGGAATTTCTAACCACAGGCAAATGTACAGTATAGGATCTAGGTTTGTTAGCATTTAAGATGGCCAGATGGATTAGCTTGAATTCAGTGTTATAGGGCACATGCACTTGGTATATGTCAGTTCAAGTCTTCTTTAAGGGTGGCATACCAAATTCATATTCTGTGGAGGATCACAAAGTTTTAACAGCAAGTTTAGATTACCAGGTAACAATAAGTTCCAATTTCTGGCCTTTACATTCATTAATCACCTGCACATGGCTCTGAGTTTGCATCCTTTAAATGTAATATTCACGTGTCCCTGTTAAAGAAACATTAAAGAAAACCCGACCAGAACCTAAACCATGTCAGTGAAATAGACATTAGACTCATTGTTGTAATTCTATTGTTCTCGTTAGAACACTGAAGAAAAAAAATGTACAGATTTGAGTTTTGTGTGTTCTGCTTTATGACGAAAATGGTTTGTAAAAAAACTGACTAATAAAAAAGGAATAAAAAAGTGCAGCTGTGTTGAATAAATTGCTTTTGACATGATTCATAACAACTGTTCACAAAGTGCTATAAAACATTTTGTTGAAGCAAAAACAGGCCAAAACAGCATCCAGACAGAAAACTTCCTCTTTCTTTTGAGTTCAAATGATACAATTAGTAGTAGCATTAGCAAATAAATGGTCAGGAAATGATCAAGAATTAAACAAATAAAGGAAAGTATGGGATAGCCTTTCCCATTAATTTCCATAAACGTTGAAGTCTTGTGGGTAAATTTACAGAGAGCTTTTTACAGAAAGAAGAGTCAGTGTTGTTCTGCTCAAACAAGCCATCTGGACTCTAACCAGGCGACACATAAGCCTGATGGCCTTGATCTTGGGCCACTTCTTGGTGGTCTTTGCAGTGTGAGCAGGACCATTGTTGTGTTGAAAAGTAAAATGTGATCGTTCCTCTTTAGAGGAGGGAAGCCTTTCTGCACTATTTTTCTGTATTCCAAAGCATTAATTGACTTTTCACAGTGAAGTAGCTCACCGGTACCAGCAGCTGTAAAGGCTCCCCACACCTTGACACGTCTACCTCCGTGCTGAATGGCAGTAGAGATGCATTCAGAGTTGTATTTCTCACCTCTTTAAAGGCACCTCTCTGAACCATCACCATGCAACTCAACTTGTGATTCTTAATCAAACTTTCCATATTCTGCCAAAAATTTCATTCTGTTCTTGATGTTTCTCTTAGACAGCAGTGTCTTTTTAACATACCTTCTAGATACAAAACCTGTATTAGACAACATTCTGGTTATTGTTATTCTCAAAAAAGTCTTGTTTTCTGTGTCTTGAATTCTGCCAGTTTTTCAAAGTTTTTTTCCTGTCTTTGAGAACTGTAAATTTCAGCAAGTGGTCATCTCTGTTTGAAGAGGCTTTGGGCCTTCTAGATCTTTTCTTTCTGCCAACATCACCTGTTCTTTCAAATCATTGACCTATTATCTGAATAGCTGATAGTGAAATTGGGATTTGCTGTGATTTTATGGTATTGTACATTGTAGAATAGCTGCAGGTGGCCTGATGAAGACCAGCTATGTGGTTTCTGACAGCAACCCCTGCATGATATTTTGCTTTCTTTGGAGCAGATGTTTTTACTCGTTTATGTTGTGACTCAGATCTCTACCTGTAGATATCTGTCAGTCCTGGTTCTATTTAGGAGCAGGCTTTTCAGGCTTGTGATGGGCTGCATCAGGTGTAGTAGATTACCAAATAACAACTAATCAAAGTAAAAATACAACCCAGAAGATATTTTGGAAAATTCTGAACACCCATAAAGTGTTAGTTTGAGTTTTAAAACATTTTCCCCCAACAGTTCACTTGACCAGCGATGAGCAAATGGTGGCACAGGTTGTTGATCAATTTCTAATCAAAGATTTGTTGTTAAAGCCATTAAAAGCCTAATATTTTGCAGTTTTGAGTTTGGCCAATTTTTTGAGGGCATTAAGCTCAGCAGTAAGTGTGTTTTTGCCTGTAAAAACAATTAATATATAGCATTAGAATAAATACAAATAAAGAGAAAAACAGTAAAATGTTTTGTTTTAAAGTAGGATTTTGGTCAGTGTTGATATCTTGGTAATATCTTGGTTAGAAGAATACAGTTAGAAGAACACAGGTTTGGTTCCTTACTTCCTGCTGCACTCCATCCATCGCATAGATTTTTTTAATTCAGCAGCACAACTGATTTAAATTAATGTAGATTGATTAGCTGATAGTAACTGTAAATGCTGGGCTTCCTCAAGGAATAGTTAAGCTAACACACTGACACACAAAATCACAATCTACTGTTTATTTGCTTTTTTTCCCTATTTCCTCTAATGCTGTAAATAAATGCTTACTGCCCAGATATATAGCTTTGCCTATTTTCTCAGATGTTTAAGACTGTTGCACTGTACTGTATATATACAGTACTATGCAAATGACAGAGAAAAGCCTTCTTTAATTTAATTTCCATACATAGTCAAAACATTACTGATACCTAACAAATTAGTTATCAGTAATTCATTTTTCAGTGCCAATGGCAGAATACATGTTGCTGCTGTCAGGACAAAACCTTGTATCTCCATTTTTGTCATTTTTCAGTTTTTGACATGATTTGAAAATGCCTGCCGCTCTTTACATTGTGTGTAAATTTCATGATGCATAGATCGAGAAAAATGGCCAAAAAAACTCTGGTTCCAGTGACTTACATTAAAAGTAAAGTAAGTTTTTTTCTTCTCCTGTTAAGTTACTATTATGGAGATGCGAGGTTTTGTTCCAACAACAGCAATATAAGCCTCGACTAAATGTCATATCAAATTTTTCA